AATTAAAGGTATTTCTGTAAGGCCATATTGAATACAATTGGAAGAAAAACATGGGCCAATGACAAAATGGTAAAGCAGCATAACTTAGGGTTAGGGTGCATGATAATGGTGTGAAATCTCATCCCCTCATCCTAGTGTCTGAATGGGGATAGGTGGCTAGGTACATTAGCCTCTCATGTGCCTGTGAATTAATACATCAAGGGTGGTGATTGAGTCCAAGGTTACACCCATGTTATAAAAGCACATCATGAAATCTCAAACCCTAACTATCTCAAATCTTGAACCGTTTTAAAAAGTTGTTGATCCCCTCCTTCTAATGTTTTGTGAGAGAAAATTGAAAAGAGAGAGCTTTTAGAGTTCCATTAATAGTGATCTTGATGGTGGTCATCCTTTCTTATGCTTAAGTCAATATTGTGCATTTATCTAGGTAAACTCCATTGAATCTTCTTTTCTCATAGGATCATATTCTTGGCATCTATAGTTGCTAGAGTTTTGAATTTAGAAAAGTTTCATTGATCTTAGAATCCCCATTTGATCATCTTTTTCATCATGATTTTTCATAGTATAGTCCTTCATGAGTTATAACCTATATGCATGAGAATTCATGATCATGCATAGTATCCATTGATTACTTTGCTTCAAATCCATCAAATAATTTAGTCTCAGAGTGTCACTCAGTTTTTAGAACTTTTTCATCACATTTTTTTCTATGGAGGTTCATAATCTTTCCATACAATACTATTTTGGTGGTCCGAGGGACCACCGTGTGTAATTTGGCCATAACTCTCTTATTCTTTATTTGATTCGATTCAAACATTTTGCATTCTGTTTTGGATGATAATGCCAGTATGTTGAGATCTTAAGAAGTGATTTTAAGGTGTATAATTTTTTCTTATTTGGATTAGATACTCTTGTGAGATTGAACCACTTTTATACAATCCGAATGGACAAAATTAAGTACTTATAGGGCCTGATTGCGTGGCCCCGGCACAAAGGATTCGAAACATGGCTTCCTTATTTTAATTTGAAATTCTAATTCCCTGTTTAGTTGATTTTATTCCTTATAATATTGTTTAGATTAGTTATATGATGTATTTAAGCTTTAGGACACAGTTTATGTAATTTGTGCTATTAAAGTGTAATTCATAAACTAATCTTGCTTTATATGTAATTGCCCCATAAGGGGTTGGTATTTGAGTTTATTTACGGTGGTTATACAAGGCTAACAATGGTTCTAATTTTTATTTATAGGATTGTAACTTATTCACTTAACTTGGTTTTTAGCAAGTGGCTTGTTAAAGGTGTCTATTTTGCCTTTTTTTCGGCTCAAAATTTTGTTCTAGTCTTTGTATCCACTATCAAAAAATACGGATCGCAAAAATAGAGTTAGTTAAAGAATTGTAAATATTTCAAATTTGTCTCAAACAATCAGAAATATAAAGATGACATAAGATAAAATTATGAGTTGCAGCTATTGTATGGATACACTAAAGTCATGGAAAGGTAGTTTTAAGTCTTTACCTAGAATCTTTTAGGGTAAATATGTGACAAATTGTTATCTAAATTTTCAATAGATACAATAGCTATATTTGTACAAATTGTCCGATGGATTAATTGGCATACATAAAAAAAAGCAAGAAAATGAATATTCTACCAAACAATATCTATAAGCAAATCCAAATATTCGAACCTCATCCCGAGTTTCTTGCTGCCTAAATATTTGGTTGTAACTAAATTTCTCTCCTACTCTTTATATGGTTCTCTTGATCTCGAGAAAATATTTCATTATGTTAGTCTTTAATTCTATCTATTAGTTCGAGATATGTAGTTGCTTTGAGAGAATATTTTTTCTAGGAATATATTTCTTGTGTTTTTTAATACAATTTTCTAAGAGAATTAGTTGGTGAAAAATTTTGACGGAATATTTGTCAAATCAAGATTTTTAATTTAATCTCACTTTCAATGTTCTTATGCCAAAACCAAAATTCGAAGTTATCAAATTAATAAAGAGGATAGAGCATTGAATAAAGTTTAGTGGAAGGATTTTTTTTTAAAAAAATTAAAATAAAATATGCATTTAAATCAGTTCCATTTAAAAAAAAATGAGTTTTTGAATTGGAAACTCTTCAAATCAATTACTCAAAAAAAAAAAAAAAACCTCTTCAAATTATCTTTGCCCCTTTGAGATCAATTTAAAAATAAAATGAAAGGCAACAGAAATCACTCAAATTTCAACTCTGGACAATCCATTTAGTGGACAGTTTAGATGCAGGGTATTAAGTACGAGGATTCAATCATATATCATGCCATTTGGCGGTGGTGGTTTTTTGCCGAAGGAATTTGATGAACTTAGGTACCATTAGATTTTCTTGCTAAATGACAGTTTGGGTATATTTGAAAAAAACTTATTAGAAATTTGACCCTTTAAGATATATGGAATTCACAAGTTTGAATTGGTTCCCAAGACTTCCCAACTAAATTATTTTACAAAACCACTCCAAGTTGTCTTAACAAATATTCAGTTTGACTCTCTCTCTCTCTTTCTCTTACCACTATTTTTTTTTGAAACGATTACCATAAATTTAATTCTACCAAGAATGAGTACAAGGAGTCCAAGAAAGAAAGGATGTAACCACCAATGATTGTTGGTGAACACCACCCCTTGCTAAAATATCCGCTTCCATATTAGCTTCCCTAAAACAATTAGATAGCTCAAAAGAGCCACTATTTAAATAAAAATAATAATCATAAAAAGTGCTGCATAGTCTCCAAGGTAGCTTCATTTCGCCTTTTGCCCGAATAATGATATTGTTTGAACCTCCCTCAACCATTTTATGGCCCTCAGGGTTCTTTATTAGCTTTAGACCTTCCCAGAGAGCTCTTTTCTTAGCTTCATTGAATGTAGTGTGTCCATATGGCCTTGAGTAAGTATATTTGTAGTTCTACCAAATCCTGCAGGGCCTGGGTTTCCATTCGAACTTCTATCGAAATTAAGCTTTAGGCAATTTTCATGAGGAGGCATTTAGCAAACATTTCGAAAATGTCTGCCATTGTTAAGCTCAGCACTTACAATCCTTGTTAGTTGAAACCCAATCAGCTTTAGATGCTAATATGTTGGACTTTATTGTTTTGATCTCGTATTGTGTCCTTTCAAAAGTTCTTCTATTTCTCTCTCTCAACGCATTCCATATGGTACTAGCCCCTAGAGATCTCCATAGCACAGTGCCAATCTTCGGCAGTCCAAGATTCATCAATTGTAATAGGATTAGATCTAAACTTAGTATATTTAGATTCAATAGCTTTCTACACCAATCCCATAAACTTTGAGTAAATGGGCATTACAATAGGAGGTGATCCACACTTTTATTATCCTTCAAGCATAATTGATACACGTTAACAATAATGATACCTCTCTTTTGAAGATTATCCACATTAGGCAACTTCTTTTGAAAAGCTACTCACAAAAATAATTGAACTTTCACCAGTATCGTCAAATTCCAGATTTTAGCTAATTTTTCATCAGTCGATCTGCAAACCTCCTCATATAGCAAACAATAGATAGACTTACTGAAAAATTCCCTGATAGTGTGGGCTCCCACACAAAGCAGTCATCTTGAGAAGGAGCATAAAAGAAGCTATGCAATAAATTAATGAGCATTTGGGATTTATGAATAAAAGAATTTGTAGCCGTCTTGTACCTGCAAACAATATCCCCTCTCATACACCACTAAAACAACCACTACTATTATTACTCCCCCACCACCGCCTAGCCATTATTATCCCACCACCCACTCTACCACCATCATTGTTGCTTTAATGCCACCACCATCACCATTATACCACTGCTACCACCCCACTGCCATCATCACCACCAAGGCCTAACTTCCACAACCACCATCATCATAACACTGCACCACTTCCACCACTTTTTACCACAACCATTTTTGACACAACGACCACAATATGGTACACTTTCTTTTCTCTCTTCGCAGTTGAATTCATTTTTTTTTGTCATTTTTTTTTTTTTCAAAAACCCATTATTTGCTTCCTTTCAAACCGCAGTGAATTACTTAGATCTTTTCATTTCTTTTGATTCTAACAAGAATCGTATTTAACACCTATGCAGTGTATCCAAATAGCAATATTTCTATCTACGTTTTGAGAATGGGCTAGGATCTTAATGGTAGTAACAACGAGCCCTATCATGAAGTCTCTGACTCCATTCTCATCAAAGAATAGGAGCCCAAATCCACACTGACTTACTTTTTACTTACCACCAAAAAATGGACCAGTCGCATCCATTAAGTTCTTATAAATTTGTATACATTTCTTTTCAATTATTTAGAAGACCTCCAATCCATACTCAATTGATCCCCTTCACTCTAATCAAGTTGGTGGTCAAATCGACACAAAACAGAAAGTATCATGTGCTACTACTTGGGCTTTGGACAATTTCCAAGCACCTCACCAATGTCAACAGTGGACACTTCTATTGTTCTTCCACTCAAAGTTAGTCAAATATTATTGATTTTTTAGGGTTGGGAGTGTTTATAAACAAGTCATCATCATCATCAAAATCATCAAAGCCTTTTTTCGAACTATTTGGCATAGGCTAAAAGTTTATAAACATGTAATTCATAAAAAATATAGAGGCCAGGTCAGCTTGATTGGTCTTTTTGGGACAAGCGCTCAAGCCAACCAAAAATGATAGTATTCCACTATGCAGAAGCTTAAGGGATTAACCAACATGGGTTTGATGATCTAAATAAAAATTAAAGAAATTAAAAATAATTAGGTTATTGGCATTGGCTTATACCAAGGAGCAGAACATGCTTCTATAAAAGAAACCAAATCTCCTTGGAAGTTTGTTGCTTGTTTCTTTTCATCCCTTATGCTGAAGTTGAAGAGTTCAACATTTTTTATTATTGTCGAGAAAGATTTCAGCCTCTTTGGTTGCAAAGCAAAGAGAATGACAACGCTACAAAGTAATTAAATACCAATGCAACATAAAATCGTCTTTCATATATAAAGATACATTCTAATGTGAAATTCCCCTTTCGTTTTTTCACAAGCACTATTTAACAATTCAAGGTACATTTCTTTACTGGAGCCACAAGTTATATGGGGTTTTGACTGGATGCTTGTATCTTGTACTTGTATTTTCTTTTTTTTGGTAGTTCAACATAGAATAGTCTCCTACCGGTCGTAAGAATGGAGCTCAAGATGTCACATTCTTGCGGCCCGCTACCCTGACCACCTAGTGTTTGAGTCTATTCTTAATATTGCATTTAACCACCTTAGGAATGTCCCTTGTACATGAACCAATTAATATGACCTTGAGCCACACACTTGCATAATAAAAACATGTGAAGTGGGGTGATGGTAATCTTGAAGTGATATGTTGCCAACATTTATAACAAGCTCGATGGAACAAAATGGATTTGTGTTGTGTCTACAATGTCAAGGTGATTAATATGGTGAGTGAATTAACACTCTTATAAGATGATTCGACTCATCTTTTGAGCTTATCAACACCTAAAGTTTGGATTGGAACTTCTGGATGCAAGTCGGTAATTTCTGATGAGGAGGGTGTGTTATTTGAATTGTGTTCGTCTTGCATTGGCCCCAGAGGCATAGTCACAGATATAGGTGATGGTTTTTCAAAATTATTCAAGGCCTTTGATTCGAGAACCAGAGATAATTTATCAGGGGAGGAGCCAACAATTGGGGGTGTAACTGATGGATTTTGAGGTGACGATGGTTGCTGCTTCTTCTGCCTAACACCCTTGTGCCATCGGATAAGAGCGTTTGCTGTTTGCGCTTCGAATATGGATTTCTTATACTGCGATCCCATCTGAAAAAAAAAAAAATGAATACTCTTCTCAGTGATGTCAAAAATACAAGAGGCGCCTTGTGTGCGTTTTACTGGTGGATTTATTCTTATTTATCATGTCTTACTTCTCAAAGTGGACCTTTCTAATTAGGTACTCACTACTCAGTTTCAAAATGAAAAAACCAATGGAACCTTATGTTCTTTTTTCACTGGAGTTCTACTAGGCATTACCATTCATTATACCCACCTGTGTTACAAGAGCATAAAGGGGGAGAGTGATGTAGCTGCACATAAATTGCACAATTACCCTGCAACAAATGAAAGTTCAGCTATGAATAATTTCTTGTCCATGAGGATAATAAAGAGCATGAACCAACCATTCAGGAATGATCCCATGCCTACCACTAGGACTCACGTTATAACAACTCTTATGATGATAATTGCTAGCCTCTCATGGTAGCATGATCGCACTCCATACTCGTACTGTCAAAAATTGGATTAAGAACATAAACTACCTCTTAGTTTGACTTGTATAGGACAATAAATTATAGAGGAATTGTAGCTAGAAAAAGTAGTATCATACTTACACATGTCCAAATGAAAAAAGCCATCTCAAATGCATTCTGAAAGATTCAGAAAAGTAGGAATTAGTTAGTCATATTTGAGGAAGAGGAGTCGTGTAGCCGACCCAAATAATTGGGATAAGACTCGAATGATGATGATGATTTGAGGAAGAGGAGTCATGTTGGAAAGCATCAAACTATATTAAATCGTATGTACCTGAAAGAGAGTGAAATGAATGAGATGCAAAACCAATTGAGGTCGTCCAAAAGGGAAGAGATTATCGTTAGGTTGCACAAGTGGGGTCCCTTTAATAAACACACTTTCTTCTTGGAGTTGAAGGGCCATTCTTACAACAACCACCTCCAGATTAGTTCCCACGTACAAAACCAACTGCACAGTAACATGCATCATATGTTTACATTCTAAGAACAAAGTGCATGAATAAGAAGATCCACTTTGAGCTAGATGCTTACAATAAGTGGGACAATAGACAACCAAAAGTATAAGTTCCATCCTGCAATTCAACAATTAAAATAGATTGCTCTAAGACTCAGATCTTTTTTGTTTTTGGGTGAATGCTATCAGACTAGCATCATTTGTGAGATTAAGAGAGGCACATTACCATGTACGTTGAGAAGCATGAAGATCACAACCAAAAACCACATGGTTGGACTGAAAAATAGAAAACACATACTTATATACTTAGAGGCCCAATCAACATGTAACTGCAACTAAAGAAAAATGCCAATAAATATTTAACTTAAAATCCAGACTGAAATTTCCATCATTTTATAAATTTCAACAAGTTAAAATGATGAAGAGAAAAGTTAGGAGGTCATAGAAATGTCACCTGATACCCACCACTACTTTGAAATCATCATCGAGGGATCTTTTTATGTACTTTTGAAAATTAAATACACCATTTGTGTTGGGCAAGTGGGCCTGAAAGATTGTTTGGAATAGGTTTGATATCAGATGATTGATCAATTTGAACTCTGCATTCCCAAGGGCATGATGCCATTGAGCTCTGACTATAGTATTGTTTTACGGACGAGAGAGAGAGTCTTTAAAATGTAGTTGTATAACTATGTTCATTTTTTATGCAATCTTTAGTGCTAACTCAACCAATGCAAAAACCATAAAGAGGAGAAGATAAATCAATATCTAGGAATTGACTTACTGAAATAAAGCCATGGCGCAGGGTAAGATAGTCGACCTTCGCAACTGAGCTATAAAATTGCCTAAAGAAACATTTCTGGAAATTCACAGATACATTTTGTAACTTCATGAAAAAAATACCAATGTTTTAAGAAAATAGCAAAGCAAATCATTGATGGATTCCAATCTATCATAAGCAAATGTAATGATGGATGATGCTTACAATCCAAAGGTGAATGGTGGTTTCAGTCCATGAAATTATGTGTCGTCTTGCAAATGTTGTTTGTCTGAAGTATCGAAAACGTTCAGGATCTGCAAATCACAACTAACATCATGAAATGATAAGAAAAACAATAATCATAAACTACTTCCTTACTTTGCCCATGGCATCAAAGACCACACAAGGTCCTTGGTCGATCTAACCTACTTGAGAAAAGATGCTAACTTACTTGGATTATTGTTTGTGCTTTGTGGTTAGGACCCAAGGGCCACATGACATCATCCATGTTTAAATCTCAAGTCACCTTATCTTCTCATGATACTATCTAACAGGATATGCTTTCCATATAATGTTTTTTGACAAATGTTATCAAATCGTATATATAATAAGAGTTACCCGAAAGGAATTACATCATCAGAAATGGAAATAGCAGACAAAGAAATACACCCTTTAACCAGATAGTCTGCTAAATAATTAGCTTCCCTAAAGACTTGTTGAAACGAAACAGACAATCCAACCGAGAGATCAAAAATCTGAAGCCAAATAGATTTCAATTCCCAAGGCACCCTTTGAGTTTTGTTGCACCATTGAATAGCATTCAACGAGTCTCCAATCACAATACAGTTTCCTAAATTTTTATTACAAAATATCCTCAATCCATGGAAGATGGCGAGCATCTCAGCAACATTTGCAATAGCTATTCCAATGGGCCCTGCATATGTGAAGATAATCTGGTCATTCCAGTCTCACACAACGACTCTTTCACCTGCCACTACTAGGTTTCCATAAGAACTGCCATAAAAATTCAGCTTCAAAAAGACTTGTGGTGGAGGGGTCTATACACTCCCTGGATGTACTCTAGGAGAACCTAAATTCATAAGATTTTGCAAGTTAATCATGACATCTACCTCAGAAACCCACTGTCCCTCTTTTGTAACAGCCAGCCAACACCACACTAAATGTTTATTTTTAATAAGGACAAGCATTCAACTTCAAAAGTTCTTTGGTTTCATTCCTTGCATATCTCCCACATTATCAAACCTCTTGTGATCTTCCAAGTGGCCATACCAGTCTTCCAACTCAGCTAAAGAGAAATGAGTGATGATACCCAGCACTGCTCGAGGTAAAGGTAAACTGATACCCAAGAGTGAGAAGAACCACCACCATATCCCACTTGCAAAAGGGCAATGTAAGAATAGGTGTTCCCCAGTTTCTGCATCTTCATTGCACATTAAACAAACATTTGACAATATTTTTTCCCTTTTAACCAGGTTATCTATGGTTAGAATTTTATCTTGAGCAGCTAGCCAAATGAAGGATTGTACTTTACGAGGAATGAACCATTTCCAGATCTGAGAAACTTGAGACAAAATCCATCGCCAACGATCATGGAAAAGAAGTTTATAACAAGATTTAATCGCGAAGATACCATCACTTTCTACCTCCCAAATTATATTATCTTCCGAACACACAGGGATATAAGCATCATTTAACATATTCAACAAAGAACCAAGCTGCTGAATCAACTCATCTCGAAGCCTATTATAAGGGAAGCTTATATTCCAAGTGACAGAATTACCACCACCTTCAAAGAGTTATGAGATCTACACATTCTGATTGATCACCTTTTCAAAGATATCCAGAAACATTACCTTTACTGGACAATTTCCAATCCATTTATGTTGCCAAAAGAAAATTTGATTACCTTTGCCAATGATCCATCTAAAATTCCTAGCAATGAGCGGCTTGCTAAGGAAAATAGGCTTCCAAAAGATAGAAACATCATTTCCCCGACCATTCCCTATTCAGACACCTTGCCTATCAAGACCGTATATGGCTGCAAGGATCTTGAACCGCAGCTGATCTTTGAAAAGAAAACTTCTCCACCACTACTTACAAAGAAGATCTTGATTAACCAACTTGATTTTCCTAATCCCCAGGCCTCCCTGACTCTTGGGGGTACATACTCTATCCCATCTCAACAGGTAGAGTTTCCGCTCTTCTCCAAATGTACCCTACAGAAAATTCCTCATCATCCTCTCTACAATTTTAAAAACTGACTGAGGCATCTACATAATAGACATCTGATAATAATTAGACTAGCAAAGCAGGATTGAAGTACAGTGGCATTTATTCCAAGAGATAAATATTTTGGTTTCCAAAGATCCAATTTTTGTTGAACCCTTTGGATAACCTTATCTCAAACTGAAACAGGAAACCTCCTATCCAAGATAGGCAGTCTAAGATAGGTAATTGGGAAACGATCAACCCTGTAGCTCACTGCCTTAGTACGATTCACGTCTACTGCATATTAATAACGCGTGTATAGTGTACTCAGGGCAAACTCGCATCCCTGAGTTACTTGGCTGAGTCCGAGTAGTCCCGGCCTAGTCTCAAAACAGTGACTACAAGTAAATGAAAGATACTATTTTAAGATTCTCCTTTCTTACTATGGGCACGGTGTTGAACCCTATTTTTAATTGAAATAAAAAGAAGTTGTTGCTCACCATTTGATGCTTGATACCATGTTGACTGAGTTTCCTTCTCCCATGCTTTCCACCGTCGCATCTGGGGTTTTCCAAAGCAAGAATTATGAAGGCTGAACAATATATGAAAGCAATTAACCAAACTTAAAAAATAATGAACTACGCCCATTTGAAAAACACCCTTACCTTTAATCTTCCAAGTCCCATTGTTACAAGGCTGTAAATTACATGAATCACGGCCAAGACAAAGATAAATATGTGAAGATGATGTATACCATCTTGACTCACCAAAGACACCATTCCCTGCAGTTCAACATTTGTTTAAGAAATGGCTCATTGATTCAATCAAAGAATTCTGCTCTTGGAATTTGTACAAGGAAAAACTTGGGTATATTAAAAAATAAAAAACATAAAAAATATGTAAACTTTTAGGATCGATGCATTAAGGTAATACATACAATTTGGATATGTTTCATGCTGTTTTGGGAGGATTTTATTCTCAAATTCCACATTTTTGTATTTCCTTTTTTTTATATAAATTTTCCTAAATGTAATTGTAAAATCAATTTTGTATAAATCCATATTTTTATTTTTATTTTTATTTTTTTGCTTATTTGGATTCCTTGTGTTACTTTTTAGTTTTGCTTCACCATTTGAAGTTTTTTTTGTCTTTATTTTTAGCTTCTTTAGCATTTTTTAAAATTTATAGGAATTTTTTGGCCCTTTACGTTACTTAGATGAGTACACTCAAACACAATTGAGTTACTCGGCTTGGGCCAGGGCTGAGACTGAGGCTTGAGCGGATTAAAAAATATTATTGTATAAACTATTAGTAATTGATTGCATATGCACATATATGAGGCATAGACCGGCAATTTTGGAGATTGAAACTAAAACTAAAATATATAAATAGTTGGAAAAAGTTTATATAAGGTTGCAACCTTAAAATTTTGAGTTAAAGCTGTACCTCAAAAATCCATCATAAAAGTTGTTTGGATGTTGGAAAACCCTCTAATTGGTCATCTCGACATCAAGATGTAAGAATATGAAAAGAAAAAAAGATTTCAAGTCCACAAAATAGTGTATCTTGTAACACATTATCTTGACCGTCTACTTTCAAGATTTTCATATATTTATAGATCTACTTGATTTGAATCATTTTTAGAGTTTTTATTAGAGATGAAAATAGATTCTCAAACTATCTTAAGAATGCTTTATTTCGAAATTACATTTATGATAAAATTTAGAGGTACGCGTTAGTTGGATTTTTTAAGGTTGTAACCTTGTGCAAACCACACCCTAAATAGTTTAAGGATCGTGCACATTGTTAGCTGCTTACTTGAGGAAAGGGAATGAACTTAGTTTTTTAGTTTATGGATGTAAGTCAATAGGTTGCGGAACACCTAAAACAAGGTTACCAAGGAGCAAGGCCAATGGTAGCCATGTATTGTCAAAGCCAATGTCGAAGAATGTTTTGACATTGCTACCATTGCCTGCTTTACTAAGCTACATTAATTGGCTTTGCTCGTTGGAACCTAATGAGGTATGTCCTAAACCTTCAAAAAATCTTCGAAAAGATGAATTTCGATCTAAACTAGAAGAGTGGGACGTCAATAATCATAAAATTGTCACTTGGATTGCCAATTTTGTTTTCCCTCCATAAGTATGCAACTAAGGAAATTTGAAATGGCAGCGGAAGTATGGGATTCCAAAAGGCATGTCCAAACCAATTTGCTCAAAATTATGAACTTGAAATGGGCATAGAACACTTGCGTTGAAAGAAGGGACAATCAGTTTCATTATTTCACTCTAAAATGACCATTATTTGGGATCAATTGGCAGTTGTGGAACCTATATGGATTGCCGATGCTGAGAGTTATTATAAGTATCTTGATGAATCTCGCCTTGTACAGTTTCTGATGGCTTTACAAGATGATTTCGAATTAGTACAAGCCTCTATTCTTTATCGGACTCCTCTTCTAACTATTAATGCAGCATTGGCTGAACTCATGGTGGAAGAAACTCCGAAAGGTATTGTTGACATCTTGACTGATATGAGTGACTCTGATCTCGCTACTTCTCTTCATGTTGTTGTCCCAAATTCAATAGGAAAAACATCTATTGCTAATAGAAACTCTTTAATAATATGTCTCCAGTCTAATGCAATTGCTTAAAAAAGAAGGCTCATTCACAAGGTTTTACAACAGCAATAGCTTCTACAACTCCTCAGCAACTCATTCAGCTCAGATCCCCACATTTGCCACATACCTTACTACAGAAAAACCTACTCCTCTTCACGCTGCCGCCCTAAATTCAATAGGAAAAACCTCTATTGCCAATATAAACCCTTCAATGATATGTCTAAAGTGTAATAAAATTATCGCAAAGGACTTGGGTACAAAAATACAATTGCCCTGTTAAACTCAAGAAGTATGCTCATTCACAAGGTTTCACAATAACAGCAACTTCTACAATTCCTCAGCAATCATTCAGCTTAGATCCCCACATCCGCCATATACCTTAGTATAGAAGATGTGTAAGAAATGATCAAACAAGCTCTCTCTAGTACAAATAACTCATTTGTTGTTGCTTTTGCACTATATCATGCTTCAGGTAATTCTAACACACATTTTTCTCAATGGTATTATTGATTATGGTGCATCAAACTATATGATATTTGCACATCTCTTAAGCTCTCCTATTTTTATTAACAACCATTCTCCTATTTGCACTAATAGCTTAATGGTGTCTGTAAGTCATGTTAGCACTGTTAAAACCCTTAATCTTTCAATTTTTGACGTACTCTCGGTTCCTAATCTTTCCATGAATCTAATTTTTGTTGCTCAGTTATGTGATCAAGGTTATGACATGTTGTTTTCCTCATCTAGTTGTCTTTGCAGGATCACTTGATAGGGAAGTGAGTTAGGACATGCCATAAAGTTGGTCGTTAGTTTGTCTTGGATACCTACATATTCCTCAACAACTTGGTGCTTCACTTATTAGTAGAACTTCCTTGATAGATCTTCCTACCGTATTTTTCTCTCTTTGGCATAGCAGGCTAGACCATATTTCTTTATCTCATCATATGTTTTTGATATCCTAAGGAAAGTTAGAGCCAATTTATACTAATAGTTCTCGTAATTATGTTAGTTGTAAACTGGCAAAACATATTGCTCTGCATTTCTCTAATATTGCGACATTTACCACTTCACCTTTTGAACTTATACATTCCGATGTGTGAGGCCCTGCATTGGGTGGTGTAATTGATGATTTTTCTTGATATACTTGGATTTAGTTGTTGCACAATAGATCTAACTTTTGTCAAGTTTATGATGAATTTTCCACTACGGTCAAAATTCAATTTTTAAAAGTATTAAAATATTTTGTTTTAACTTTGCTGGGCAATATTTGTTTAAATCTTTTAAAACTCTCTTGAGGTCCCATGGAACTGTTTGGTCAGTTATTTTATCTTGACGCACTCTAGCATAATGGTGTTAGAGAGCGAAAACATCGCCACATTATAGAAACAACAATAACCCTTCTTGTCCTCCCTCTGTTTCAAAAGAATTTTGGTCAGAGGCTGTTTGCACCCCGTCATACATCATCAATAGGATTCCTTCCTCTATTTTAGGTGGCATATCTCCCTATGAGTAGTCGTACGCTTCTCCTCCGAACTATGCTCATCTTCGTATCTTTGGTTCAACATGTTTTGCTTTTCTTCTAAAAAGTAAAAAAAAAAAAAGTTGTCAAAAAGTTTTTCTTTTTTTGTACAATTTACAACAAAAAGGTTTTCGATGTTATGATCCTATATCTCGAAAGCTTTCTTGTAACCTTTTAGGAACACATTCCAATTTTTTTCTCTTCCTCAGTTTCTCTCACCAACTAAATCACTTTAATTCCTTGATCCATTCAATGAACCTTCAGAGACTATTGCTAGTCCAAACATTGAATCAGTTGTTATCTCTCAGGATATTCAAACCAACTCTTCTCAGTCTCTTATTTCTACACTAATGATGGTTCGTCTTGATTATGCCTCTCCTGAAATTAATCCCTCCCATCACCATGCGCAACGTTACAATGAGCTTTCACGTTCCTTACCCAAATATCTTCAAGATTTTTAATGCTTCTTAACATCTTCCCTTACTTTTCATGAGCCTCAATCTTATCAAGAAGTTGTTTCGGATCCAAAATGGAAACAAGGTATTAAAGATGAGCTTATTGCCTTATAAAATATTTATACTTGGGATCTTGTTGATCTTCTTCTTGGCAAATCTGTAGTTGGATGCAGATAGGTCTATAAAATTAAAACCTGCTCTAATGGGACCATTGATTGATATAAAGCTCATCACGAAAGGATTTACTCGATAATATGGGATTAACTATGAAGAAACCTTTGCGCTTGTGGCTTGTATGACCTCAGTTCATACTTTAACTGTTGTTACTTTTATTCGTGGTTGGTCCATATACCAAACGGATGTTAAAAAAGACTTCCTCATAGAGAGTTGCATGAATAAGTCTATATGAAATCTCCTTGTAGACTACCTCATCAGTCTCATCAAGTCTAAAAGCTTCGACGAGCCCTATATGGTCTCAAACAAGCACCTCATGCTTGGTTTGAGAAATTCACTTCTATCATTACTCGCCACAGTTTTGTTCAAAGGATTTAGCCATGTTTATTAGATGCTCATCCAAGGGTCTTGTTATGCTATTATCGTATGTTGGTAATATGATTATCATAGGCAACGATCCTAATGGGATTCGTGACATCCAACTTCATCTTAGTAACTATTTTGAATCGAATAATCATTGACCAGCTCCGTTATTTTTTGGGAATAGAGATGGACTCCTCTCCATGTGGTTATGTTTTATATCAAATCAAGTATGCATCTGAAATTCTTTGTAAGGTAGGTTTAACTAACACTGAAACTGTGGGTACTCCACTAGAGCTTAATGGTAAACAACGGACCACTAATGACGAACTTCTATTTGATCCTATACGGCATCGGCAACTAGTTGGCAGCCTTAACTATTTAACTGTTACACGCTTAGATATTAGTCATGCCATTTATACTTTCAGTCAGAGTTTGTTTGCACCATGTTTTGTTCATTATGTGGTAATACTTCAGATCTTACGATATCTTCGTGGAACTCCATTTCAGGGTCTTCTTCTCTCCTCCACTTTTCAGCCAGAATTGCAAGCCTCTTCTAATGCTGATTTGTGGGTAATGTTAGGAATTGTCGTTCCACCACTAGATTCATTATTTTTCTTGGTGACTCCCTTATCTCTGAGAAAAGTAAGAACAATAAGTAGTTGTTCGGTCTAATGCCGAAGCCAAATATTGTGCATTGATCATACTACCTCCAAGATTATCGGGTTACGATGGTTACTCCATGACATAGGTGTTTTTCACTTGTTTATGCATGAATTTAGGCCGATCTCTGAGTGAGATAAACTCTGAGTCATGCAAAACTTATTAAAAATTTTATGAATCGATAGAGAATGCGGGGTCACTCAAATTATAGATCTAGAACTGATGCAGATCAAACAAATTTGATCTTTTTTTAGTCTATTAACAATGGCACTTGTAAATTCACTGCTACTAGGTCTTTAAAAAGTTCAAATTTTAAACTAAAATATCTAAGTAATGAAATAAAGTTGAAAATCATAAAACAATAACTAAACTAGAAAGAATTAAGAAACTTGCCTTCGGGGACCCGAAACGCAGAGTTTTGGGCTTGGATTAGGCTGTTGGAAAGCTCTTGGACTCTACTTCAACTTGAGCTAGGTTTTGAGTATCTTTGGATAGTTCTAAGGGGTCTAGGTTCACTATAATTTACTAGTATTTGATATCACCTCAAATTCATACAAAACTAGTTAAAATTTGATAAATGGATAAGGAAGAGGGACCACTCAAATTATAGATCCAAAATCAGTACAATGATACATCTAACCTTCTTTTTTTTATCTACTAGCAATGCCAGCTGTAAATCTCACCTACTAGATCTTAAAAATCTATGAATTCTAAATTAAACTAAGAAATCCAATTATAAATAGAAAATAAAGAAACAAATAAAAATAAGCAGAGAATAAAGAAATATCACATAGTTGAGAAACATGGAGTTGGGGTCGTATCAAGACCGCGGGTTGATTTACATATTTGGTGCATTCTCTTGCTTTCTTGAAGAATGGTTTTAAGATTTTCGATCTAGAAGATATTGTTCCTACGGTTTTGATTTTGGGGATTTTATAGAGAAATTTTGAATGAATCCAGGATTAGGGTCTTTAGCGTAGAGTTTTTCCTAGATCTAGGGTTTTTAGAGCCTAAGAGAATTTTCTAAGGTTTTCTAGGAATTTTTCCTAATTTTGTAAGGGTTTTTCTTTTTTTTTCTAGGGGATATAGGATTTTCTATTATTTTCTAAGGATTTTTAGACGAATTTCTGATAATTTTCCTAATTTTCTAGACTTTCTAGACTTTTTCTAGGTTTTCCTAGATTTTTAAGATGTATTTTTCTAGATTTTTTAGACGGATTTATATAACTTTTGCCTGGGAACATGGTTGAAATTTAAGGAATTAGAGTTCCAAAGTAACTAGGATAAGAGAAAAACTGTCAAAGTTTAGGCTCATCCAAGAATCGCCTCAACAGATCTTTCGAGAGCTTTTAGAAGAGTTTGCCACTGCCTTAGTGCCCGTGGTTTTGCACGACACATGGCGGCTTGTGTGGCATATGGGTTGTGCGACAGGCCACAAGTCACGTGTGTAGCCAATGTGTGACCCGCCACAGCTTGCATTGGGGACCATTTTATTTTTTGTTCAAACAAATTTTGTCGGTACGTAACTTTCAAACATTAGGTCCAATTTTGATGGTTCTTGAACAGTTGGAAAGCTCATCGGCTATACTACAATTTAGGTTAGGCTTTGGGTGTCTTTGGGTCAAAAAGAAATGATCTAGGTTCACTAGGTTTAGTGTGGTTCTTAGGACTCAGAATTAAGGTTTCTAAGAATTTTGTTAGCTAGAATTTCTTGGGGGGGGTGGGGGGGGAGGGGTTTATCTACATCACTCTGGTCCCTGATCTATTTTTTTGTGATAATAGAAGTGCTATTCAAATAGCTCAGAAAGATATATTTCATAAGCGACGAAGCACATTGAAATTGATAATCATTTTACTCGCTATGATGTATTGCAGGAGACCATTACACTTACCTTTATTCCCTTAGTACACCAAGTAGCTGATCTTCTCACCAAGACTCATCGTGCTATGCGTGTTTGCTACTTATTATCCAAACTCCGGTTGCTCTCTTTCAAGGCACCTTGAGCTTGAAGGGGGGTGTTAAAAGATATGAAAGTGTATTCTTTAATATATATACAAATTTGATCTATATTTTCTATATATGTGTCGTCTGTTACATATAGCAAACCTCTGGTATATTTATCTTCCTTCTCTGTTACTAAAATATATATGACAGTCTTTTTTGCCTTTTTAAACATTATTAAAATACATCGGCCGAGCCCGCTCAGAGTCAGGCGAGTTTACTCCGCCTTGCCTTATGGGCAAGGCGAGTTTTGATGTACAACCAAGTGTTTTTACATTATATATATAAACATGTCCAATTCAATTAAAAACATTTGAGCTGCCTTTTGGGTAGCATGCCGCCTCGTTAACATGGTGGGGGGTGGAACTCCCCACATGCACCTCCTTACAAATTTTAAACCCAGTAATCCGACTTATTTTTTAAGGGGTGGAGTCAATGATTTGTATATGGCTGAGTCCCTAAACCATCAAAGTAAGGCGCGCCTTCAAATAATATTGAAAGATGTTGTTTCAAGACTGAAAATCTTTATCATCGGCTGAAAATTTATTTTCATATCTAATTATAAGTAGATATGTACCATCTGTCACTCTGGTATATTTATCTTCCTTCTCTGTTAATAAAATGTATATGACAGTCTTCTCTGCCTTTTTAAGCATTATCAAAATACATAGGCCGAGCCCACTCAGAGTCAGGCGAGTTTACTCCGCCTCGCCTTATGGGCAAGGCGAGTTTTGATGTAGACCTAAGTGTTTTTACATTATATATATTAACATGTCCAATTCAATTAAAAACATTTGAGCTGCCTTTTGGGTAGCATGCCGCCTCGTTAACATCATGGTGGGGGGTGGAACTCCCCGCATGCACCTTCTTACAAATTTTAAACCCAGTAATCCGACTTATTTTTAAGGGATGGAGTCAATGGTTTGTATAAGGCTGAGTCCCTAAACCATCAAAGTTAGGCGCGCCTTCAAATAGTATCAAAAGATGTTCAATACTGAAAATTTTTGTGATAGGCTGAAATTTTATTTTTATATCTAATTATAAAATTTAAAGCTTTATGAATAGTATAGATCGAGCAGATCTACGAGCAATTGAAAATCTTGAAAATTGACGGTCCAAAAAGTGCATGACAAGATGCACCTATTTCCAATACTTAAAATCAATTTTTTTTATGTCCATTCATCTTGATGTTGAGATAATCAATTTGGAGATTTTCGGGCATTAAAACAACATCTTTGAGTGAATTTTTGAGGTGCGCCTTAATTTGATTGTTTAGGACCTCACCTTATATAAACTTTTACCGTTAAAAAAATGAACCAGGTGAGGTTTCGAACACAAGAGCTGATGAACTAGATACTTTTTTTGTTGGATATTTTTATTTTTTTAAAATTATGCTAGACTCAACTGCACTCCGAAGTCTAACTCGCCTAGACCAAGATCCAAGTACCTTGGCTGAGACGATTTTCAGTGCGCTGAAATTAGTAGCTCCGTGGTCATGCCAATTAATACCGAACCATTGACACAAAGCATTAGAACAATTGTTCGTAGTAGTTCAAGTCTTGAAGGCGAATGCTAGTCACTAAGGAGAAGGCAGCACGTCTCCCATAAACACCACACGCCCCACATAATACCTATGGAAGACCGCACGCCCGACTTAATACCTATGGAAGATGTAACTATTTAATATTTTAGCTGTCTTTTGATTTATTTTCAAAATACCTACCAAAATAAACATGATAATGATCATAACTCGAAATAGTTGTAAATGTATAAAACATTAAATATTTCTTCTTGGTAATATCATACTGCCTCCAGCCTAATGTGTTTTTCCCCTTATTTCAATTGAAGCAAGCAAGTTGGTAGGGGTATCCATGTGTTGGGCCGGGTCCAGGTCGACCCAGCCTGACTAGGTCCTACATAAATCTCGACCTGGGTCAGGTCCAAGGTACTTGGACCCAGACCCCATTGGCACCCTATCAGGTCCATCCCAACCGGGGCCAGGCCCCGCCGGATTGGTGCCCCTACATGTTGGCAACCATCAAAGATTGTGAGGCCCATGATTCCTCAATTTAACAACTATATGAAATCTTTGTTGATAGAAAAGGGAAATCACAGCTCCGCTACGACTGTTAAGAAGAGAAGAGAGGAGACTGACTCCATAAAATAACAGGGAATCGATCCGGTTAGTCAGTCAGTCAGTCTCTGAGGAGGAGGAGGAGGGAAGAAAAGAAAGGCGCGTACTCTTGCTTCGCAGTGGTCGTAGGCCATTGTTCCGGCCAATTCTCGCCTGTGGGAGCTGCTCATGTCTCCTCCTCCTCCGAGGTATGAGAGTAATAGTCTCCTTCCAGTGACGTCGTGGGGGAGAGCGGTGGTGGTGCTATTGGTTTTCTTGCAGGGAAGCATGGTATCTGAAATACTGGTGGGTATACAAATACGTGAAAGGGTACCCTGAGCCACTCCTAACAAGAGAGATATGAAGCCCAAGAGCATGAGCTCTGTTCAACCACAAGTAACCAAATCAGTAGTAGTAAAAGGATAGAAAGAGCACATGATGATCGTTGTACATCACCAACAAAATCTTAGTTACCACATTGTGGTTTTCATTCCAGCCACTAATAACTTCAAAAAAAGCTATTTCCTAATCTGATTGAAAAAAATGAGTAGTTGCGTGTCTTCCTCTACTGAATTACCAAAAAAAAAAAAAGGGTGTTTGCATCACCTGATTTGAGCTTCTCAAGAGCCTCATTTAGGGCCTTCTTACGATGCCTCGTTAGCCACTGCAGAATGGAGAAGGAGATGAAGAAACAGCAAAAGGGAGATTCATTAATGAAAGAGGCGCTTGGTGAGTTAGCTTACATGGCCTAGGTGCTGGATGCAATGCTCCATGATCAAGGAAATGGAGATGAAGGCAAAGAACACAGAGGCAAAAGCCCATGTTGGTGTCTGTTCCAGTGTTCGTGAAGAAGATGATGATGAAGCTGCTGCCATTTGCCCCTCTCTCTCTCTCTGAATTTTCCAAATTGTACAGAGGGCGAGGGGCGTATCATGTGCATACCAACTGCACTGGGGAAGCAACTGACTGAATCAAATAGGCATGGTGGAGACTAAACTGCACCACTGGATTCCCAACAAATAATTAATTACTCCCGCTTTTTTAATCACTGCTTCAAAAACTTGTACCCTGTGAGAGAGAGAGAGGGCGGTGGGACTACATGAGAGAGAGATATTGTGGGTGTGCGTACATTAAATAAATGACAAATGACTGTGTCTTGGTCAAAGTCGCGGAAGTAATAGAGTAGGAGTGGCAATTATAGGATAAAAGAAGGGTGCAATATTGAATGAATGTCGGTAGAGGGAGAGGGAAGCCCTGAGGTAAAGAAAGACAACGATCCCAACGCATCTGGCGTAGGTATCATCGTGAAGAAGAGGGAGACCGAGACGCAAGCCTCGATCAAAATCGAGACTTTGTTCTGCGGCGTAGACCCGGCGCTTCTAATGTAATAAAAAGGGAAATTTACCCAAAAAAAAAAAAAAAGACCGCGTACCCTTTCTATGCAACTTACCGCCTAAAATACCCTCCCATACTCTTTATTTTAGGAAGGCTTCCCTCTCCTCTATTTCACCAAAATAGGGACTTGGCACTAGGTTTGAAAGTACTTTTCTATTTCACCAAAATAGGGGCTGTGGCAATGTGTAAATGCTGTTTGAAAGTAAGACTCCGGCATTGTGTAAAGTGTGGTTCGGTAGTAAGGTTCTGACAGGGTATTTGCATAGAAAGTTTGTTTTGAGAATAAAAGTGAGAGAAAAAATTAAGTTGGGATAAATTGCGTAAAATATTTAGTCTTGGGGTTTTTGGTAAATTTTCCTAATAATAATGAAGAAGCAGAGGTCTGCTTTTCTCGACCCATGCCCACACCGAGTCACTCGCATTCAATTCACCATCACGATCATAGTAGTGCACCCAAATGTGGCCTTTGAGACATCTCTGCTTCAAGCTAGTTTCAAAACAGTCCGGATAATGTGTTAGAAGACGAATTATTTTTAGGACTAGAAATTTCTTTTTTTTATGTCTATGAATCTCGAGGATTAGATGATCGATTTGAAGATTTTCCAGCATAAGAACAACTTTCTCTAATAGTTTTTTAGGTTCACCTTACTCGTACAATATAAGGTTAACACCTTATATAAACTTTTTTCCAATAAATATTAATTATATAGCATAGAATATGTTAAATAAATTTTCATATATATTTTTACTTATTGATCTGGCCGTACCCAATGGGTCGGGTCTTCATCCAATTGACTTGGACCCAAACAGAGTCGAGGTGTAACTTGGACCTGAACCCGACTCCAACCCAGACGCGACCCATTCCATTCCGACCCCTTATTCTCATATAGTTATGAAAAATGCCTTTACATACCCAATTGTCCTATAGTAATAGGGGTATCAACATTGGCACACCTAAAAAATATGTCGGGAAAGGTAGTTCTGCCGCTTGAGGACTCTCCAATTGATCTCAATTTCGAAATGTATAAATATGAAAAAAAAAAAAGAAAAAAAAAAAAGAAACGTCAAACATTTGAAATATTGCTTCTTATAATCGTCCATTAAAAAAACGGGTGACATTTGCATAGAGCTGAGGTTCTAGACAATCAAATTAGAGCCTACCTTCAAATAGTGTCGAGAAATGTAGTTTTGATACTGGAAATCTTTGTGATAGCTTTAAAATATATTTTTATCTTTATTTATAAAGTTTAAAGCTACAAAAATAGTGTAGATCAAGAGATCTATGAAAACTTGAAAGTCTTGAAAATTGATGGTCAAAAAATGCGTTACAAAATACACTATTTTCAAAACTTGAAATCTACTTTTTTCTCATGTCCATGTATCTTGATGTTGAGATGATCAATTTAAGGACATTTGGGCATCAAAACAACCTCTTCTAGTGAAATTTTTTTAGGTAGGTTCAAATTTGATTGTTTAGAGCCTCGGCTCTATATAATTGTTTCCCCACAAAAAAGGATAAATATTTTTAGATATTATGGATTTGCACTATTTTTTATGCTTTAAATTATAGTTCTCAGTAAAAATTCATTTTTGGGCTATTGTGGGCTATTAATTTTTAGTGGCGGAGATAAATGGTTTGCGCACAATAGCAAGTGCAATCGCCACCGTCCAACACATTAACATGATATGCATTTTGCAGGCCTTCGCACGAACCTTGGGGTGGGGTGGGGTGGCGTGCAAGCGTCTTAGGCCTAGTTAGACCCGGGCCCAAGAACAATAATTTTTTGCCTCGCCGGACAGCCCTATGAAGGGGCCAAACCTAGCCTACGCCCGGCCTGCCCATGCCCGGCCTGCCCATTTTGCCAATGATAAGGGCCTGTAAAGCCTTAATACTAAGACGGGTTACAGGTTCAGCTGTCAAACTAATGGGCTCAAAATTCAAGCCCCGTGGCCTCATAAATGGGCCTGAAAATTCAGTCATTTACGCGTAACTAGAAGATGACCCGGACCCTGGAGATTCATACAAGTCAAAAGTTTAAATGAGGTCATATCCAAATGCTTTCCCTAGCAAAAATCCCTCTTAACAATGGATTTTAAATATAGAATTTTAAGAGTAGATAGAGAGTTTCCACCACCATCATCATAAGGAATGGTGAATATAAAATATTAAAAATTATTCATTCTAAAAGAATTAGATGGACTATCCGAAATAAAATCTAGTATAAAATATTAAAAATTATTCATTCTAAAAGAAGTAGATGCACTATCCGTAATAAAATCCACAATAATTCACTCCTAAAGCCTAAAATTGCGAAATATGGGAGTCCCTTCCTTATTTCACCAAATTTGAATAACTCAGAACTGGCCGGTCAAAACCGAAACCAGGCACTGGCCAATCTGATTTTGGCTAGTACTGATAGGTCAAGTCGGATATTTTTAAAAACATTACAAAAACGTATAAAAAATTTTAAAAATAAGGGATTTTTTTGTAATGTTTTTTTTTCCATTTTGGCAAAAATTAGAAAGTGTTTTAGTGATGAATACTTATTTTTATATTTTCCAATCATTTTTTGAAAATTTCAAAAACACCCCTAGGCACAAATCAATTTTTTTAAAAAAAAACATACAATGAGACCTTTTACTTGTGATACAAGTTGATCACAATTAATCTTGACAATTGGATGTGAAATTAGAGGCCTGCATTTATTCCATTGACCAAGCTCAAACTTTAAAAAAAAAATTTCCAAACTTTATGATACACCCAAGCTATCAAATTTCACATCGGACGGTTGTACGTAATTGTGACCACCTTGTATCAAAGGTAAATAGTTTCATTATATACAATTCTTTTGTTAAAATCGATTATTTTCATTACTTTTCAACTTTATTTAGATTTTTTTGTTTAATCATACTTTAAATACATTTTTAAAATTTTTTATATTTTTAATACTTTTTTGACTGGCCGGGACTTGCCCAGCTAGGCTGGTTTGCTCGTGAGTAACCCGCGGATTCGATTTGTGGAATACCCGTTGATATTATTAATAAAAGAAGGGTGTGGTTTCCATAAGGTTGCAACCTTAAACAATCCAACTATGGTGGACATTCAAATTTTATCATAATATATAATTTTGATGTCAAATGTTCTTAGGATTACCTCAAAATATATTTTTATATCTAATTATAAAATTTAAAATTTTAAAAATGGTTAAAATCAAGTAGATCTATAAACATATGAAAATCTTAAAAATGGACGGTGTAGATAATATGTTGTAAGATGCACTATTTTTTAGACTCAAAATCTTTTTATTTTTCATAGTCATACATCTCGATATCGAGATGATCAATCACAAGCTTTTTCAACATTAAAATAACTTTTTCTGATAAATTTTTGAAGGGCATCCGTAGTTCTAGATTTTAAGGTTGCAACCTTATATAAATATTTTCGTTAAAAGCATGATATATTTAATAACCAAACCCACAAGCAATGTTCAACGGCTTGCATCTCATGTTGTTGTGGTCCATCAAGCTAACGTGCTGTGCGGTGCAGCTCTTAGGAAGATCATCGGTGCACGTTGGACCGGGTTGGGTGCGAGTGCCCCCTTTACCCTTAGAAAGATAAGATATCTCATCTTAACTTTGATTGAACAATTCAAATTTTAAAAATTATCGAGTTGAATCAGAATCGTCTAAATTGAAAGAAGTAGAGCTTTAAACATAAAACTTGAACTGAGTTTTATCTAGAAACAAAATATGAAAAATCAATTATTTCTCTTTCACTTCTTCATCTAAAGCTCTCGTATTTGCCGCAATTTGTTCGTTTTTGTTGATCTATGGTAATCCTAAAGAATTTTTTCCAATAAAAACACCAAAATTTTGAAATTTCCAAATCAAATTTTGGGTTTCCCTTTTTTGACATTCTTGATATCCGATCCACAATTCTTGAGATTTCTCTCCAGTTTTCAATCTGATTTCTATGAACTTTTATCTCATTTTCTTGTTGTAACATTCGGATATTCCTAAGGTAATTTTGGATTAAACCCCCTAATCCCATGAATAAGAAGCTCAAAAGATTTGTTGCATTTTGATATTCTCTTATTGATTAGTTTTTTTCTCAAGTTGATAAATTTCTTTGTTTCTTATTGTTTTGTATTTTTTTTTTGTTTTTTCTTCATTTTTGTTTTAACGGGGTTGGCCGATCCAACTAGTCCGACTCAGTTAGTTCGACCTGGACCGGTGAGTGGTGAGTTTGAGCGACAAGTCACTCCACCCATTATGATGCCTCGCTCTTCCACACGCAAATGCACCTATGTGATGTGATGTGATGTGCTTAGGAAAATAACGAAGTTGTTATGCTTGAAAATGACGTTCAGAAAGAAAAGTGGTGAAATTGTGTAAGAAAAGTCGTGAAGATGGAAGTGCAGCAAAGGCTTTCCACAACATCCAATACTACACAATTTGGGTGATGCGACCGAAGTTGAAAATAGATCATAGTTAGCAAGAAAATAGATCATAGTTAGCAAGTTCACGTTTAAAACGCGATTTTTTTAAAACTAAAGCATTTTTTTAAAAAAACGTTTAAAATTGTGACCTTTTGAAATGATTGCCTAAAATACAATGGTTTAAAAAACGGATCGGTGATCCAGATCGGGTTTCCAAAAAGCCGATTCGGATCGGTGAATCGGCGATCCGGATCGGGAATCGGGTGAATCGGTCAGAATAAAGCTTCAAAAAAATCCGAAAAAATTATTAAAATTTATTATAAATATTGTTTTTTAGGAATTAAATAAGAAATGAGGGTACTCCATTAAGAATTTTTATGTTTTTGAATGAATATGCGAATATTGATATGTTCTTTTCCTGCATGAACCGCCATTTAGCATTTAATTTACATCACACAAAAGGATAAACATAGAATTATCATGGAATAAGTATAT